ATCTCATATTATTTTCTACAGTATTTCTCTAATAAGTGGCTAAAGTCAGATGTATTAACAAAAGAAGGCGCCACATTAAAAAAGACCCGGTTTTGGCTGCATATTTTGAAGCAGGAGCACACTTATGAGGTTGATGTCAGGCAACTGTCAGATGGGCAACCCACGTGGGGTTGGTCAGTTCTGGATCAGTCTATCCTGCCAAATCTAGGGTTGCCATATGTCCAGGTTTTCCCAGACATGTTTGGGAATCAGGGCCTGAAATTGGAAATCAATTAATATCCCAACAGTAAGAGATTGGCAAAATAAATTATTTGAATATTCAGAATTGGCAAAATTAACACAAAAAATCAGAGACCAGAAAGAAACAAAGTTTATTAAGGAATGGAACAAATTTATAACATATATTGAAGTAGATTTTAAAAATTCAAAGATCACAGTAGGCTTAATATAACCCTATGGCATGCAGAAGTTTTAAAGATAAACTGCGGGGAAAAACTGTATTACATAACCCAAAACCGAGGTGGAGGGAAGTCAATAACTTACATGTTTGTCTCTGTTTTTTCCTTTTTTTAAAAAAATAATTTAGTTATGTTGTTTTTATTATTGTTTTTTGGTGAAGAATCTATTTTGTGTATATATGTGTGTATCTGTGTGTATGAAAATTAATAAAGAGAATTAAAAAAAGAAGAAGAAAAGCACATTAAAAAGTAAAGGTGGGAATCAGGGCCTGAAAATGGCATCTGGGCAGCAAAGCAGCAAAAAGTCTGGGGAAACCCGGACATAAGGCAACCAGGGCTATTTTCAAAGGAAAATGCTTTAAACATGCTTTAAAAGTTTGAATTGGGGGGCGGGGAGGGAGATGTTCCCACACACAAAAAGCTCAAAAAAAGAAAAAAGCTCAGGCTGGCCCTGACTTGTTCCTGGTGCACCTTGCAATTTCAATTTGAGGTGAGGCTGAAAGTTAACTGGGCATGACCTGCGTGCACATTTGCCCAGATGGATGGCATGTGCACAGAGTGGTGGTGGCTGCTGAAAGGAGCCGAGCGCTCTGGGCTCAGTGCAAGTCAAGAGGAAGCCCAGTTGGTGAGTGTCCCAAAGCCGCTTACCTTGAATAGGGGCCTGAATAGGGTTCAGGGAGGGAGGCGGTGCAAGGCTCAAGCAAAAGAAAAAAAGGAAAAAGAGCTCAACAAGTCTGTCTGGATTTTTAGTATCTGAAATATACCCTAGTCAAATCCAATTCCTAACCCGTACTCCAAACCACATCCATTTTGTTATGTAATAATGGGCAAGAAATACCGTATTTTTTGCTCCATAAGACTCACTTTTTCCCTCCTAAAAAGTAAGGGGAAATGTGTGTGCATCTTATGGAGCGAATGCAGGCTGCGCAGCTATCCCAGAAGCCAGAACAGCAAGAGGGATTGCTGCTTTCACTGCACAGCCATCCCTCTTGTTGTTCTGGCTTCTGAGATTCAGAATTTTTTTTTTCTTGTTTTCCTCCTCCAAAAACTAGATGCGTCTTGTGGTCTGGTGCGCCTTATAGAGCGAAAAATACGGTAGTAACTTTTGTCATGTCTTACATTTTAGGTTTTCGAAAGTGGAATGATAAACCTTGTAACCTTTTGAGTACCTATGTCTGCAAACAAGAGCGTTAAAGGAGACTGGAATTCCCAACTCTGCCTGCTTAGTGGATGTGTCTCTGATCTCATTCCTTCCTCTCCCATCCCTCAAAGGGAAAAAACAGCTCTTCTTCATTCTTAAAATAACCTCCTCTATAGAGCTATCTCTTTGGTCTTCCAATTCACTTGGAAGTTTCCTTGTTACTTCTGCAAAATATAATCCTAATAAACTTGCTTATGTGTATTTTGTTTTCACTGAATCCATCCTTATTGCTCCAGTTCCAATACCATATATCTGAAGACTGGGGAAGAAGCAATTCTTGCACTGGAGTTCCCAGGGAAAAGAAGCACATTGTACCTCTGGGGCTCCAGTCCAGCACTGTCGCCGATACCTGACAAGGCACTCAGGGCAACATGTAGGTGAAACTTCCTATCCCAAACCCAACGTCTTTTCTCAGAGGTGCTCAGCAGAGCTGGTACTAAAGCTGGGATTTTGAGAGCTGGGGACAGGGGGGAAAGTAAGGGGATCCCAGACTACCTGACCAGTGCCAAATCCTGGGATGCTAAACCAAACATCCCTGCCCCAATTGCTCACCTGTAGGCCCTTCTCTGTGCTAGACATGAGTGATTTTGTCTGGCTGGAATGTGAACTTGAGCACTGACTATGATTGTCTGGATGGTGGATAGAGAGATAGGAGTAAATCAGCCTTTGACCTTTGCCTGGCTTGAAGGCAGTCTACTGTGCAAAGGCAAGAGTCCCCATCATCATCACCACCACCATCATCAATTATTATTTATACCCCGTCCATCTGGCTGGGTTTCCCCAGCCACTCTGGGAGGCTCCCAACAGTATATTAAAAAAACGATAAAACGTCAAACATTAAAAACTTCCCTAAACAGGGCTGATACATAACGTTCCTTGTATTATATACTGTGAAGCAATGTTGGAAATTTTCATGAGGTTAGAGAAAAACCTACCTGGTTAATCATTAACGGAGCTGGGCCTGGACTGTATCTCTGTGGGCTTAGTCACAAAATGATCAGCTCACAGTCACATGAAAGGGATTGCATTTCAGGTCTATGCATATGTTAATTGCAGGCATCCATGTCGGGTGTGGTGCCTTCTTTTAAGTTCTGTGAGCAAAGCTTTTGAACCACATTTTTGGACTGGATAATTTTTATTTCAATGCAAGAGTCTGTTTTGTTCTTCCAGTGGCTTCCATGTGTGTCAAATCAATAATCTCAGCAGGTCATCTGTGAGGAAATGTTGCCCTCAGTTCTGGTTTCTCTTGATTTCTCCAAACTTGAGTTCCTCACATTTCCACAACTATTGGTGAAAGGTTTGGGGGGTTTTTTTTGGCTGGGGCAAGGAAATTCACCAGCACTTTCACAAACATTTCTTCTAACGTGCACATGTCGGCATTCAGTGTTTCCCAACCTACAAAGTATTGATTTGAAATATAATATAGTTTTGCACATTATTTTCACCAACACATGATTGCTAATGTGCTGTCTTCAGTAATATATGCATTACGCTGCTTGGCTGCCAACCTGCATTTCAAAACCTGGAGAAGTGCCAAGGTCTAAAGGATGGCTGTTTGACAGTTGTTGTATTATTTTGGAAAGTGCAAATTAGGGAGATATGCTTCAAACATAGTGTGAATTGAATGTCTTCTCCACCCCTTCTGTGGTCAATCCTGCAGTGATACATGTGGAGATCAATGAAGGTGTAACCAGTGTGGGCTTACTCATAATAATTTAATAATAATAATTTATTATTTGTACCCCGCCCATCTGGCTGGGTTTCCTCAGCCTCTCTGGGCGGCTTCCACAAAAACCAAAAATACACTAAGATATCACACATTAAAAACTTCCCTGAACAGGACTGCCTTAAGATGTCTTCTGAATGTCAGGTAGTTGTTTATCTCTTTGACATCTGATGGGAGGGCGTTCCACAGGGTGGGCGCCACTACCGAGAAGGCCCTCTGCTTGGTTCCCTGTAACCTCACTTCTCATACTGTACTCAGCTCTGCCCTGCTACTTCTCCTCATGCAGTTCAGCACAGGATCTTGTGTGTCTTGTTCAGGATGTGGGTAAGGTTAAACAGGTGTGCCAGTTTTAGTTTCTGTCTGTTTCTCATTTCCGCCCCATCTTTAATTCAGCACTCCACATCTGCACATCATTGGTTCTTTTAAAAAATATTTATGTAGATTCATCAGCATTTTAGTGTGAATTTATCCCAATATAAACATGTTTTTTTAAAGCAATTTCCCCTAATGCAATGCATTTTTACGCTAATATATGAATTTGTATGGACAATAGTTTCGGGATTTTTTTATATACATTACTTGAGAACAGCATTGCAAAGTTCAGAGAAGTGTGAGTTTCAAAGGTTGGCTGTGTTTCAGCTCATGAATTGTTTTTAGAAAGCGTGAGTAGGCCTGGTTTTCATTTGGAACTGAACTGAGCTTCTCCCCCATCCTCAGTCTTGGTTAAGCGACAGGCAAACAGGGGGTGGGGGAAATGCTAGGTGGTGGCTGGAGTGATGGAGTGACATCAGGCAGAGGCATAAAACTATAGGCTTGTGTTAGAAAAATCTAACCCAGGGAAGCTGCTCAGGGAGATCTTTGGCACTGATGTGTGTGTCTGTCTCTCTGTGCGTAAATATTGGAGTGTGCTGTGACATTTAGGTGTAATAAACCTGTGACCTGACTATCCTAGTGATTGTGACCATATATGCAAAAGAGAAGAGAGCTAGGAAAATGGACATGGGGCCATTAGATGCACCAAGCCATGCAAGCAAAGTGAAACAACATGGAGGATGTCCAGCTAGTGCTCAGTATTGTCCCTCATTCATGTCTATTATGTTCAGTTAAAACAAGTCTGTGAAAGGATTGGGTAACTTGCTATTGTTGAATTGCCATCTTTTGATATTGCTTAATGCTTCCGATCCTTGAATTTGCATTTGTATGTTAGCAAATACTCATTGTCAGTTCCTCATTTGGAAACACTGACTTTGGGGTGGGGCGGGGAATGTGTGCCTGAGAATATTGAACAGCTTTTTCTTAACTAGAAGCTCTAGGCAGCATTTTCCTGGGGCAGGAATCTGGTTTAAAATTTAGTGTAGCATTCCAGAACATGGTGCTGGTCAGGTTAAATGGGATTCTCTTGCAATTTCCCAGTGTGGTGTAGTGGTTAGGAGTGGTAGTCTTGTAATCTGGTGAACTGGGTTCGTGTCTCCGCTCCTCCACATGCAGCTGCTGGGCGACCTTGTGCTAGTCGCACTTCTCTGAAGTCTCTCAGCCCCACTCACCTCACAGAGTGTTTGTTGTGGGGGAGGAAGGGAAAGGAGAATGTTAGCCGCTTTGAGACTCCTTCGGGTAGTGATAAAGCGGGATATCAAATCCAAACTCTTCTTCTTTCCCTGTCCTCATTTTGTGGCTTCTAAAATTCTGGATTTCATATCAACTGCGCTGAGCAGCTCTAAGGAAAGATGTTTGTTTTGGGGATGAAATTTGCGGTGACATCTGGATTTGAGTGCCTTGTGTGTTGTGAACAGCAGTGCTAGACACAGTGAGAGTTAGACACAGCACCCCCCTGTTCCTGGGACTCTCGTGCAAGGAGTGACTCCTTATCATGAGATTTGTGCTCTGAGAATTGGTGCTGTAAGGACTGATGGGATGAGAAGGACAGAATCATGACAAGAAATATATGCATAAGAGACTATTAGGATTACATTGTATTGAAACCTATCTTGGAAATAATGGATGAGAGTTGATCACTGAGGGATTGGAGAGGAGGTAATGATTCCAGAGAGCTGTCCATCAATCACAGAAGGCACAGTTGGGAATGACAGTTGCTGGATTAGAGTTTTTTCTTGCAGATGTAGCTGTTGAGTTGGTTGCAGTTTCTATCATTCCATTTCACAAAACTGTAAACGGTTTCTTTAAAAGAGAACAAATGACAGAATCAGGTCCAGAAGTTAGGAGGCACATGAAGAATAAATAGTCCTGGATTAATTTTGCTTTCTGATCTTAGATTTTCTACATCCCTTAGTCAACACTTTCCCTATGGTGAGGAGAATACACAACTCAGACTTTAGCCTGGCAACCAGTTTTCAGAATACAACATGAATGTGGTGGTGGTGGTGGTTGTTACAAATTGCATACCACCCTTCATCTAAATTTCCCAGGGCAGTTGTCACGTACAATTTACTATGCAGATAGGCTGTAACTGAACCCTTCTACATTGTGGTATATTGGGAAGTGACCCTAAATGCTGAACACATAAATCACTGCTGTTCCACTCTACAGAGTAATTATCTTTGCTGTAAAGAAACAAATACCTGACCAACAGTTGTATCCAACTAACTCATACTCAGAGTATACTCCTTAAAATCAATGGACTTTCATAAAATACTAACCTGGGTCTGCTGATTTTGATGGAACTATTTTGAGTATGACTTACAATCCTGAGAGAAGTAGGACATTGATGGAGACGTGTGTGGCAATGTGGAACTTAACATCTAATTGTTATTTTGTCAGACCTTGCAAATGGTTTCCTTACCTGGAAAATATAGGAGCTCCACACAATGCTCATAAGGGGCCCAGTCGTCTGGTGTGGTTGGGTACCAGGATTTGTAACCTTCGTCGAACTTGTAGACTGATCCATCAGGCCACCTCCAACGCCCATTCTGCAAGATTGAGACATTATAGATCATGTAAGTAAGGAAATGAGGAGCCTGGTGTCAATATTATCTGGATATGTTGGTCAGTGGGAAGGTAGTGCCAGCTATGAATGAGTCAGAGGAGGATCTGCATGGAAAATAATATTGATGTAGCATGTGGGGTTCATTCTTGGATATTATTATATACGGAAGGAGTGGTGATGCTAAGAAGCCACTACTCTATGACAATGACTTGGAATAGAGCAAGTGAAGGCAACTCACGTAATGAAGCCCAATCCATACGTTGCTTTGTTCTTGCTGGGACGCGGAGATGTGCTTGGCAATCAGGGCTGTCTCATCCACATTAAGGATAGAGGCAAGGTGAGCCCTATGGCCATAGCTATGGCATGCAGTCTAAGAATGGAGAAAGAATGAAAGACCACAACCGCCATCAGAACATGTTTCTTTATATACCACTTTTCCCAAAAAGTCATTCCCAAAGTGTCTCACAACACATCAGATAACAACAGTTCAAAAACCATATCTCACTAAAAGGAATGATGCAGAGTTTGTGGAATATCAACATTTTTATTTATTTCTCTGAAATTTGACCTTCAAGAGGCAAGTCTTACTGGTAGACTGTAAGGAATTAGTGTCACATACCAAGTTGCCGGGCTTAAACTTTTGTGCACTAATGGCACCTCCAGATCGACAGCATTTCGCACGAGGAATTCAAGCACATAACAGGAAGTGTAGGTTTGCACAATTAATCCACTTAAATAAATAAATAAATGAACAAATGTAGGAGCATGTTCCTGCCCCCTCATCTAGGATGAATGCAGGATGAGTGGTCAGTTAAAAGGTCATCTGGAGAAACCCTAAGCCGGTCTTCCAACAAACCCATTTTTTTTTAATGTAGAAATTTTAGGTGGAAGCATTTTTATGCGGAATGTTGAAAAAGCTGCAAAAGGTTACAGAAAGGGAGTATTACATTTAAATAGAGGCAAGGAAATTTGAACTTGGGAGATTTGCTTTGCAATGCCTAATTTATTTTAACTTGAGCTCTGGAACCCAAATGATCAGCACTGCATCCTACCTGCTGCATTCCTTTCACAACACTGCAGACCACACAGCATACACTGTTATGTCACTCTTGCACTGAAAAGTTGCAAGGGTGCAGTACATACATAATGTTTGGTAAATTCCCTTTGGAATTAGGTCACTGGGTGCTTTTTGACATTTTAAAAATACTATAGTCTCTCTGCAAATATATAGGCTGAGCATAGGCAGAGAATCAAACACTCCCATAGACTGCCAAAATCTGCAGTTCATACATGAGTTCTCTAGGGAGACAGCCAGAGCCATGAAATGTTTTGCGAACCCAGTCTCAGATCTGTTTCAGAACTGCAGTCTATTCTACTTTTCCACACAAATATTTCTTCCCTCTTCTCCTGGTGGGAGGGGAGGATTTGGCATAACTGTCACATTCTCAGCTCCCACGGAGACGCTTCACTGGAACATAAAGTGACCAACTCTCTTTTGTGAAGTCTGAGATGCTGGACAGGTATTGTTCCATGGCAAGGATAGCCCTACTCACAGAAATCTGATAGGAGCCCAAAAGATGTAAATTAGAAACATTAGGGAGAACTTTCTGTCAGCAAGTTCTGTTTGACAGTGGAAAACTGTGGCCTCTCTTTCCTTGGAGGTTTTTAAGCCAAGGTAGGATGGCCATCTGTCATGGATGCTGTGGCGATCACACAGGGTCCCTGGACGTTTGACGGTCTATTGACCCTGTGCCACCACTGCGATTGCCTCTTCGCTGCCACCACCCCATTTCTCTTCGGGGACACACGGAGTCCAGACAGTTGTTAACATTAACAAATAATCAAGTTTATTTGTATAAGCATGAACAAATAACAACTTCAAACTGATTATTCCAATTCTCTATCTGACTCCACCTAACAATTCCTCTCACTCTCTCACCACCCAGCTTGACCAACCCACAGGCTATTCCTCCCTCTTAGTTCTCCAACTCCCAACACTCAACTCTCAACTAACTTCCACACACCTCAGACTCTAACTTTTACTCCTCCCCTTGCATTCTCTCTGGCCAATCACATCACACTCATTTAACCCTTTCCTTATGACCCACCTAGGAGGCAAATGCCACAGATGCTTTAGTTGAGATTTTTACATTGCAAGGGTTTGGACTAAATGACCCTTGGAATACCTTCCAATTCTATTATTCCATGATTCTATTACATCTTGGTTGAGGAGAAATATTTCTTACCTCAGCATCTCTCCATGACAACTTGGTATCAAAATATCCATAGCAATTGCCCTGGTTTTGCAGCCAACCATCAGGACAGGATAGGGCCTTGGCTATGAGGAGAAAGGAACAAAGTAGTAAGAAGGTTGTTCTTTATGTGAAATCTTATTTTAGCTACACTGCTAAAAGGGGTGACTGCTTTGAGCAATCACAGATAATTTTGAAACCAATGAATATAGGCCTAACCTAAACCATTGCTCTAATAGCCTTAGCTGGGTAACCATCGCTTGAAAATATAACAAACACTATTGATATAATGCCACTTAACCCAGATAAAGATTTCTACAGCTCCTCTCATGCTTTTTTGGTCTCATGGCCTGCCTCAAATATGAGCTATGTAGACTGAAAGGGGCAAGGCAATGTAAAACTGCAGAAAGAGAGACATGCAGGCAGAGGATAAAAGTGTGTCTGGCAGAGTGTGAAAGAAGGAATGTCCCCAAGGAGGGAATAGAGAACTGGCTGGAGACACCGAGGAGAAACAACAGCTGAGGATAAGAAGAGCAGCACAGGTTAAAAGCGTGAAACAGAAAGATAAGGAGGTGGAGGAGGTTATATGCAAGGGAGGTTATATGCAGAGGGAAGGGGAAAAGTGAAGAAATGAGAGAAATAGACTGAGAAAATAAGAGAAGCTTTTTTACTAGGAATTCTAGGTGCATAAATACCAAAGGAGCAGAAAAGACTATTCATGTATGTGACGACAGCTGCCCAAATACTATTGGTCCAGAGATGGAAGGAAGATAAAGTTCCGACCAGAGAAGAATGGTTGATAAAGATGATGGACTACGCTGAAATGGCAAAAATGACTGGGAAGATCAGGAATCAAGAAGATGATACATTTAATAAAGAATGGGGGGAGATTTATAAGTTACCTTGAAGAATACTGCAAACAATTAAAAACATTGGCAGGATGATAACAGCACTTGTAACGTAACAAGTGCTATGGTATGAATTGAATTTTAAGAATAAATGGAGAACATTATATGATGCAGGTGGGTAAAGATTAACAATGGAAGCCATGGAGGAGTAGAGGGAAGTCTAAGGATTCAGGGAATCCTATATTTTTATGATTTTGATTTATATTTGAGTGAAAATGTTAAATTTAAAACTGAATTATTATTATTATTATTATTATTATTATTATTATTATTATTATTATAAAAGAGAAAACAAGAGAAGCAGAAAGATGGTAAGGGCAAGAATAAGCAGTAGCAAAGGAGGATTCTTATTCCAGCAGAGCCCAGATGTGATGGATGGCCAAGATGGCTCTTCAGTCACTGAATGGAGAACCAAAATATTCAGAGAGTGCAATAGGATTGTCATTTGGTGAACAGTGCTTTTTCCTTGAGGATATGTTTGAAAGACAACATTATCTTGGAAGCTTTCTCAGAGTAACATTATCTCAAACTTGACATTGCTAAGCAAGCTTGAATTCATGAATTGTGATAGTAACTAGGATTACAAGCCCAAGAAGGGTTGATATAAAGACTAAGATAGTAAGGGAATATTAATCATAATTCTCTTGTGTCTGCATTCTTGATGGCCTGCCTTAATATTATGACTTAGACTTAAAAGGGGGAATAAATGAATTAATTATATTTATATGGACACCTGAAGGACTAGGGGTAAATAGTTTGCATTGGGTAATTCTCAAAAATTGGTTAAAATGCTCACCTCCTGGAAAAGAACTGGAGACCAGGACTCCAAGAAGACAACAGGCGAAGGAGGTGACAAATCCCATCTTGTGGTAGACCTTTTGTGGAAGAGGAATGTACAGTGAATTCAACAAATACCTCCGCTGATTGCCGTTCATCCCAAGTGGTGATGGAAGGAAGGAGGACATAAACATTGTCTACTCTTAAAATCACAATTCTATTTTACTTGAACTTCTAAGAACTATGAAGATTAGAGAAAGACGAAAGAAACAAAAGCTTGATGTTTATCAGTGTTGACGATTCATTGAGCTATAGAATGTTGAGATTAGAAGGGACCTTGGAGACCATATGCTCATTTGAGGAATCTCCAACCATATGCATTTCTATTAACACCTTCCCCAAGTACATCATTTTTGTATGCGTTACACAGCTGGAGAAATTCCATGAGAAATTCAACTGTGTTGAAAAATTCAAAGAGACACAAATTTCAAAGGGTGGTTATGTTTCAGCTCTCATATTGTTTCAGATAGTGCAAATTCAATAAGTATGTCTTTAAATGGAATCTGAACTGAATTTCTCCCCCATCCCCAACCCCACCGCCAACTTACCCAGGTTCAGTCCTTTTGAGGTGATGGATAACTCTTTCCACAGGCAAGCCTGACTCCCAAGTTGGCTGCCTTAATTATTATATGAAGCTTTGTCAGGTCAGAGGCAGGGGAAAGGAGGAAGGAATTTCAACCTTTTAGACATTCATAAAGTACAGATGACGAAGGAAAGGCTGTACTTCAAATACTCATAAAAACACATGATTGGTTGCATGAATGTCCCTAGGTATTTATGTGAAAGGTGATGGAAAAGTAAATATTCTAAATACAATAATAAAAGACTTAACTAGAATCAAAGAACAGGTCTACCATCTGGAGATAAACCCAAATCCAGGAAGGGCACTTCCTTCACCACTTTCTATTTTGAAACTGAAAGGTGTCAGTGAAGGGGAGTGCTGAGTCTGCTCAAAGAGCACACCCTCACTTCAGGTAGTGCAAAGTTGACCTGTAACAAGACTGGTCCGCATCCTTCATAAAGGGAGAGACTGCCTTGGAATATTTCCCAGAATCCTCTGCCACATGCAAGACGTTCCCTAGCAGATGAGTCAACGTGGCAAGAATTCCATAAAACCCAAACTGTGGAAACCACTCATGTTATTCATGTTTAAAATTGGGGCTTGGCGAGGTCTAGTTTTTACATGAAAATGGGAAATATCTGAGGGGAGCTAAACTCCTCCTTCCTCTTTGCTTCCTCATGCTATTTAATTCCCCCCTCCTTGGCTCATTTCTGAGATTGGGATATAAGTACCTGTGGTGATGGAGGGTGGGGAGCTTAGACTGGGGACTGTTCTTCTTCTTCTTATTCTACTACACACACACCCTTGTTTTCTTCTTCTTTAGATGCTATTTTTCCTACCTGGCTTATTTGAGGGCAGCTCCAGCAGAGTGGAAGGCAAGGTTCCATCCAAATGGAAGCTGGAGACACAAACTGGGTCTCCGGAATGCTTTCTTTGGTTGTGCACCTGGTAGCTCTCAGTGGCAGCCATGTTGTCTCCATAATACACTAGGACAGGCATGTCCAGCTCTCTACAGACTGTGATCTACTCCCAGTATATAAAGAAAACTGGCAGTGATCTACCGATTGTTGTTGAGCTTTTTTTTAGGGGGGAGTTAGCAGAGTTCTTGAGCTTTTTTGGAGGGGGGCACCACAGTTGTTCAGCTTTCTTTTTAGGGGGGTAACAGTTGTCCAGCTTTTATGGAGACGGGTTGCATAACATTGATTGCACAACAGTCCGCTGACCTTCCTCCTTTCCCCACTCTGATGCCAATGCTGGAAATACAACCTTTCAAAGCTGTACTGGCAGCAAAAATGGGACATAGTGCTGGGGGCGGGGTGCGTTATGATCTCTCAGGAACAAACGGGTGATCACTTCTTTTACTCCCATGATTGACCGGGAGCACACCGACAATCTACCTGTTGATCATGGTCATCTGGTTGGACATTGCTGCACTAGGAGTTTCATGAACAGACACGGTCTTCTGTAGAACACCACAAAAACATTGACGTTTCCATGATATATTTTTTTTTGGGGGGGAGTAGTAATCCCTACCCCCACCCCAAGTGTCCCTTATCCTCTGGGGCATTGTAGAAAAAAGAAGAAGGCTGGTGGCCACTGGAGCCAAAAGACTTTTTAAAATTGGGTATCCTAAGGATATTAAATGTGGGTACAGGGTTGACAATCTGTTTTACTGAGATATCAACTGTATTTTAAAATCTGGGTTTACACAACAATGCACACCCAAAGATGACTTAAACACTGTTTGATGTCTTGCATGTCTTAATGACCCATCAAGGATAAAAAGAATATAGCCGATGTTTCAAATTGCCTCAGAAGCAGTATTTTTTAATGGATTCCATATTTAGGCAGTACCAGAGGTCTGCTGCAGCAGGGTACATTCCCCAAATAGAGTTTACCCTTTGGGTCATCGCTTGGGGGAGTTGCAGGGGCAAGACTGTGTCACCCACCGTCAGTTAGAAATGGAATTGTTATTCAGGTCATGGGAGAAAAACAGGTCTGATTCAAGGTGCACCTGGGTGAAGGAAGTTTGGTTTTACAGGGTCTCCCTGGGTGGGAGGTAGGGGGAAGGAGAGTATTTATAGATGTAATATGTTTTGATGGTTTCAAGGAAGCATGCTGGGAAGAAAGCAAATAGGCTGGACTAATACATTTAAGAAGGATTGAAACCGGTGCATTTGATCACAATGTGTTCTTTCCCCCTCTTTGTTTAAAGGACTTGGCACCACTTTTATGAGTTACTTAGCACTTTTATGGACTTTATATCAACTTTGCAGATGTAGATAGTTAATGTTTTAACTGCTGTTTATGGCTTAGGGTGTTCATCAAATATGGGCTAGACTTATGAATACTGAGGCACACATGGAGGTTATGCCGTCAGAGCACCTATAATGCTTCCTTGTTGAAATAGTCAGAGTCTAAAGGTCAGGACCTTTTGGCAGGCTGAAAGCCTGACTGGTAAAGGAAGTAGTGTTAGAACCTTTTGAGATCTCCCTCTACCTGCATGAGGCTTGGGGTCACATCAACCCTGAAAACAATAGAGAATTGTTTCTGAAAGGGTGTATCCTGTTTCATTTTACCAGTACGGAACCGAATTCTGAGTGAGGGGGAAATGGCAAGCTGTGAGAGAAAAGGACAAATCAAAATGCAGAAAATTTGGCATGTTGGGGGGTGACGGTCAAAAAGAGATTGGAACTCAGCAATAGTTCTCACTTCTTCTTTACTTAATTTTCAGGTGGCATAGCAAACCATTCCTAAACAGCACTGTTTTGGACAGCTCTGGAGATACTATTTACCAAATTTGGCATGATAGTTTCTGAGATCAAGGAATGGGGTTTGGTCCATCTTTGGATACCATTGGACACCAACTTGAATCCGAAAGGTGGACTGGGACCTTCAAAATTGCACGTATTTTGACACCTCTTGAGATAACCCAACTGTCATGCTGTCACTGAAGGAATCTTCTCCAGAGAGGGATGTGGCACTAGCCCAAGTAAAGGTTCTAGAGGAGCAGGCTTTGTCAATGAACGGTGAGATGGACCAGGGAAGCTAGGACCTTTAGGGATCATGGCACCTCCCTATCTCTTTAGATTAGAAGTAGAGTGTGCCACCCTCAACCAAACCCCTCAAAACTGCACTGATTTTAACCAGTACTGAAGGGTTTGTATATTATAGTTTACTGAACAAGATTAAATAAATATATATATTATTTTTGCTAAGAATTAAGAAACACCTATCCATTTATCTATCTTTTTATCTTTTGTTTTTAAAGACTTGCTGGGCAATTCTAGGTATTGTCTGCTAGTGTCTGCTATATATTTTGGAAAGTTGTTCCTCTAGCCACCTGTCCACCATTCAAACAGCTCTTGAAATGTCATCACCAAAACTGGCACAATGGTTTCTGAGATGGAGGAACTATTTCTCATCTATGTTTGGAAACTGCCAGATGCCATTTTGAATCAAGATGGCAGACCAAGCCATTACGAACTGCCTCAGTCTGGACCCCTGGAGATGTTGTTGTCATCCAATTTTGTGTGACGGTTCCTGAGATGGTAGAGTGGGTGCTGGTCTACTTTGGAAACCATCATATGCAATTTTGAATCAAGGTGTTGGACAGAGGTGTTCCAAACTGCACTGATTTGAACTCATTTGAATATATTATCTCCAGGATGATCAGGTTAAATCTGCTATGATACACTGGAGGAGGGACTTGGGGCATAATATCTAACTCTCATCCTGGGACAGGTTATGGAAAACTGATCTGAATTTTTGGGCATGCTGTACGTTGAAATAAAATTATATGAAAATGATGTACCGTTGATATTTAACTCCTAGTAAGTTAGCAAAAATGTATGAGACAGGTACAAATATCTGCTGGAACTGTAAAGAAAAAGAAGGCACCTTTTATCGTATGTGGTGGATGTTTAAGGTAAGAAAAGCATTCTGGGAAATGGTATATAATGAATTGGAAAAAAAGTTGGAAATAATTTTATATAAAAAAACGAGGCTTTTTTATTAGAAATTGTAGATGCTGAAATTCCAAGGGAGCAGAAAAGACTTTTTATGTATGCGACGACAGCTGCATGGATGCTGTTAGCCCAGAGATGGAAAGAAGATAAAGTCCCTACCAGAGAAGAATGGCAAATTAAACTGTTGGACTATGCCGAAATGGCAAAACTGACCGGGAAAGCTCAGAAACCAGGAAGACCAAACCTTTAATAAGGAATGGTAAAAATAATTTTTACCTAGAAGACCACTGTAAGCAGCTGAAAACACTAGCAGGACCACAATAACACTTGTAATGTAACGAGAACTATGGATATAATGGAGTTATAAAAAACTTGGTTTATGGGGAAAAGATGCAGTAGAGAAGGGTAACAACAATACCCATGGAGGGGAAGGTGGGAAGTCCAGAGATTCAGAGGATGTGGTATGATTATAATGTTAAATTTGTAAAACCAAATAAACATCATTTTGGAAAAAGAAAAGAATATATTATCTCCCATTTTGATTTGATGGTTCCTGGAAAATGCAGAGGTTTTGGCTTATATTTGGATATAATTGGATGTCTTTTTGAATCAAAGTGGTGGACTGAATCTTGAAAAAACTGCACTGATGTTGATGTCTTGCTTGATGCCTTGCATGATATAAGCAGCAGTGCAGGGATGATGCTCCTTAGGTACAATGTTCCTGCTTCCCTGGGACTTCCATGAAAGGAGTGCAACTCACCCACCCCCGTCATGTTGAGATTTGTAATACTGGGAGTGGAGTTGTAAGTACGGCTGGATGGAGGAGGATAGCAGTGCACTAGGAAGTATATGCCTATGAGAGAATTTATTAGGATTACACAGAGCTGAAGCCACAAGATAATGTCAAAGATGGAGACTGAAGAAGACAACGCTATAGACATGAATGTTTATTTTAGAGTCAATGGAGACAGCTGGTCTTTCTCTTTGAGGGATGTCGGAGGAGAAAATGATACCAGAGGCATCTGACTTCAGTCGAAGCTCCAAGCTGGCACTGTTGGGAACTGTAGGACTGCTTTACAGCTCTTGCTTGCAAATGAAGGTATTCATTTGATCACAGCTTTTATCATTCCACTTCCGTAAA